TTTTAATCTCCATGAGGTAGGATAGTTCCTTGCCTTCTTTTTATGATTTATTTCTAGTTTGATGCCTTCGTGGTCAGAAAAGATGGTTGGTATGATTTCAATCTTGGTGTATCTGTTGATGTTTGTCTTGTGCCCCAGTATGTGATCGATCCTGGAGAATGATCCGTGTGCGCTTGAGAAAAATGTGTACTCCGTTTTTTTTGTGTTTAGTGTTCTATAGATGTCTGTTAAGCCCAAATGCTCTAGGTCCTTATTTAGAGCTTTAGTTTCTTTACTTATTATTTGTCTTGTTGATCTATCCATTGTTGATAGTGGTGTGCTGAAGTCTCCCACTACATATGTGTTTTCTCTGATGTCTGTTTTCAGAGAGGACAACAGTTGTCTGATATATTTTGGTGCTCTTTCGTTTGGTGAGTATATGTTAATGAGTGTTATTTCTTCTTGAAGTATTGTCCCCTTAATCATAATGTAGTGACCATTGGGGTCTCTTTTTATTTTTTTGAGTTTGAAGTCTGTTTTATCTGATATAAGTATAGCTGTTCCTGCTTTCTTTTTTGGCCCATTTGCTTGTAGGATTGTTTTCCATCCTTTGACTTTGAGCCTATTTTTATCTTTTGTAGCTAAATGTGTTTCCTGGAGACAGCAAAAGGTTGGGTTTTGTTTCTTAATCCAGGCTGCAACTCTGTGTCTTTTTATTGAAGAGTTTAGTCCATTTACATTTAGAGTTAATATTGATATGTTAGCATCTGTATTTGCCATTATGTTTGTCTTTCCTTTGATTTTATTTATTTATTCTTTTAATAACTTTTTTTTTTGGTCTTCTTTCGTTGTTATTCGTCCCTCTGAGGTTCTGGCTTTAGGATTCCTTGTAGTATTTTTTGGAGTGGGGGTTTAGTCGCAATGAAATTCCGGAGTTTCTCTTTGTCTGGGAAGGTCCATATTCTTTCTTCATGGAGGAAAGAGAGCTTTGCGGGATAGAGTATTCTTGGTTGGCATCTGTTTTCTTGGAGTCTGTTGACTATGTCCCTCCACTCTCTCCTTGCCCGTAGTGTTTCTTCAGAGAAGTCTGATGTCAGCCTGATTGGTTTTCCTTTGAATGTTATCTGTTTCTTCCCTCTTGTCAGCTTCATTATTTTTTCCTTGTCCTGGATTCTTGGGAGCTTTACTATTATGTGTCTTGCTGTGTTTTTCCTTTCGTCGTGGAAGTTTGGTGTTCTTCTTGCTTCTTGTATATCAATTTTCAGCTCCTTCTTCGCATTTGGGAAGTTCTCTTCAATTATATCCATGAATATTTTCTCTGTTCCTACATCTCTCTCCTCTCCTTCTGGAATTCCTATAACTCTTATATTTCCTTTCCTCATGGAGTCAGATAGTTCCCGAAGTCTTTCTTCATTCTTTTTCCTTCGTACTTCTCTTTCCTTTTCTGTTTTGGTTCTTTTTATTTCTGTGTCTTCAAGATTACTTATTCGTTCTTCCATTTCATCTATTCTGCTTTCATTGCTTTTCCCAGAATTCTTTAGTTCCTCCATTAATTCTTTGATCTCCTGCATTTCTCTTACTTCCCTCTTTAGGGACTCAATTTCCTTCTTCTGATCTATCACTTTTTTAATCATGGCAATTTTAAATTCTCTTTCTGGAAGGCTCAGAAGTTCTTCCAAGTTGCTGTCGTTGCAATCTGGGGAGTGGTTTTCTTTTTGTGGTGTGCTTCTTTCCTGAGGAGTTGTTAGGTTGCGTGTGGTTCTTCTACTCCCTACTGTCTGTTTTCTAATTTGTCGTATGCGTTGGGACACTGTGTTGCTCGGACTGACTGACATCTTGGGTGAACTTCTCCGCTCCCCTCTGGCTCTTCCAGGAGCCATCTCTGTCTTCTGGGGGAGCTTTCTGCTGGTTTTAGGCAGTTTTTACTGTAGAAATGTCCCTGTTCTCAAATGGCGAAGCGGGATGCAGTCCCTGCGCCTCCGGTTTCAGGCACACTCTTCTGCGCCCCCGGTCTGCCCTGGACGTGGGTGCCTGCTCCCTCTGTGGGCTCAGACTGCTGGTCGGAAGGGGCCTGGCGTGGAATAACTTCCCGGCTGGCCACTGGGTCCTGCAGAAGCCTTCTGCCCTTTTCAAGCAGTCTTAAGAAATTTCCTGTTTTATGGGGTGTTAGTGACTTTTTTTTCCTGGTCGCTAGGTGGCGCCAGAGATCTCTCCTATTGTCCTTGGGGGGCTGTTTTTCGCCTCCCCCCACCCCGTGGGACAGGGAACAGAGCGGGAATGGTAGGGTACACCTCAACAGCTTTGGGGTGCTGTGTCTGCCTTGTGCCCCACCGTCGTGGAGAACCCACGCCCCGAATTTTCGTGCCCTGGGTCTCAGTTCAAAGCCCTCAGTTCCAGGACGCGGGCTGTAGCCCAGTTCAGTGGCGCGGGAAGGGCGCCTTTTGCACTGCTCCCGTGCCTGGGCGCCTGGTTCCTGCTTACTCAGGGAGGGACCTTCACCTCAGTGAGGACCTCCGCGTGTCTCCCCGCAAGCCTAGGTCGTCTCCCCGCAAGCCTAGGTCGCAGGCGCGGGGACCTGGGCAGCCGGGATCCCGGTCCGTGTTTTCTTTTCAAGCGTGCCAAGCGCGCAGCTTTCCCGCGCAAGCTTACCGGCAGCCCGGGCTGTGTGCGAGTCTCCTGGGGTCTTTGTTCTTCTCTAATGGCGCCCGGAGCCGTTCGCTCACCGCCGCAGCGGATCCTGCAGGGTTCGCCTCAGCTCCCGTTCACGGGGTGTGGTGGCTGCAATAGTTCCTTTCCACTCACAGTCCCGCTTGCTGCGTCGTTTGTTCTTGTTGGTCGTTTTAGTGTGTTGTTTTCCTCCTCTCTGCCGGTCGGAGAGTGCCGCCTCTGTGGGCGGGGGAGGGGAGCAGGGTTCTGCGCTTCCCTCCCTTCTAGTCCTCTTTTATGGCCAGTTTCTTCTTCGGGCAGTTTGCTGGAGTCGTCAGTTTATCTTCCGTGTCCCAGTTCTCACTGGGACCTGCCGCTTTTCCTCCCTATTAACTTTTTTTAATGGGAGATCTTACTCGCAGCGTCTCCTCGTATTGTTATCTTTTCTTTCTTGTTTTTTAATTCTTTTCAATTCATTGCAATCTCTTTTCTGTCTTCACCTCTCCACACAAATTCCTCTGACAAAAGGTGCCAATATGACTTTTTGGTTGTGAAACATAGCTCACATGCTATTGGGTATGCTCTCTGCCCTTCCAGATTCACTTTCCACACTTTTCTCCACTTGTCTTTCTGCTCAGCAGTAACAAAATGATCTCTTGCCTTTGGATTTATGGCAGGCAGTAGCAAGAAAAGGGATTGAGAGAGGAGAGAGATTTTGCTCGTTATTCCTCTGGCTTCCTCTCTGCAGGGCTTGGCCAGCAGTGGCACTGTGCCTCTGTGCAGGTCCGCTGCTTGCCTAGCATCCCTCCTCTACCACTACAGCGCTATTCAGCGCATGTCTGTGGTAGTAATGCTTACTGTGCTGCCAGTCTGGGGGTACTTCACCATCTTTGTTGGCTTCCCGGTCCCTTTATCAACTTCTTCTCAGTTAGGCCTTTTAAATTTTTCACTTTTATCTTGCCAGTATCCTAATACAACTTTTTATGTTACTTATTCCCCAGGAGCCATTTGATATCTGTACAACACTTTTGTCCCAGGAACTCTGTCCTTCATTCATTTCCATACACTAACCTTGCGTAGTCCTGTATCAACCACTCTAACTCTTCCTCTTACTTTTGCCCCACTTCCTTAAATGTTTCTATTCTTCAGTGTTCAACCCCAGTTCAGTTTTGACAGAAATGGCCCCTGTTTTGTCCTTTTTAATCCATTATCCACACTTGTTCACAATAGATTGGAATGATATACTGAAATAGAAATGTTGATCTCATTACCCATCTGCTTAAAATCTTTTACTAAATCTTCTTAAACTCTCCCAGTAAAGTTTATATTTACCCCTCTAATCTCATATCTAGCCAAGCTATTGTTATTTTGCATTCTCTGATTCAGCTATACTTTTCCTTCCAGAATACAGCACCCTTCTGATTACACTTGGCCTTTGCACATGCTCATCTCTCTGTTTAAAAAGCATCTACCCACTTGTTCCATGATCAACTCCTATTTTCTTCAAAGCTTTGCTGAAGGCCTTTCCGGAACTTTAATGAAAATTGAGGGGATGAAATTGTTCTTAGCTTTTAACTAATAGTCCTAAGAGAACTATTAGTCACAGGAATTCTAAACACATAACTTAGTAAATAACATTATATACAGGTAAAATCTTAATATAATTTATTATTTGAATTGTAGAAATCTTTATATAAATAAGTATTAAGTATTATTATCACCACTCCTTTGGTTATACTTTTTGGGCCATTATCTTACTTCTCTTTTATATTATGAACTTGGGATAGTATTTTACAATATCATATTTCTCCATATCCCCTTTAACAATGTCTGATGTACTACTATACAGGTAGCACTTTCAATAAACATTTTGAATAAATAAATGGAAAATAAAAATGTCAGGGGATAACCTGTGATTGACTGGCCCAACCTGTTGCTTCTAGATGATTCATTTAAGCTAACCTAGAGAAGAACCAGGAGATCCTGAAGACTTTTCAAGACATCAAGGAAGTATTTTCAGTGACCAAAAACCCCTTTGTACCATAGAGTTACTCTTTTTACCTAAGTTTATATGACTACAATCCAACACAAGGTTTTCTTCTGGGTAAAGATGACTAGCCAATATTATCAAATGGTTTTATATAGTTTGCAAGAAAATTATTCAACAAAGACTACATTGTAATGGCAAAGACTATAAATTAGAATTGTGCCTTATACTTCAAGCAATTTACATTCCCCTCAATTTAATATGTGAAAATAAAACAGTAAATTCTAAAACTGAGATGATAATTCATGAAAAGTATAGACACTCACCAACAAGAAAGCTATAAATATTACATATTAATAATTACACATAATAATGATAAATCACTTACCTACAATTTATTGTTGGTCTGTGGGAAGAGGGAAGGTTTACTTCTGATTTTAAGGTGGATTCCTGGATTTGTTTGAGGGCCTCTTCTAAAGGAGGAACTGGTTTTTGAAAAACTAGGGGGATAATAAAGAAAGGTCAAATAATACAGAATCACTTCCTCATCAATGGTCTCCTCATATATGCAATTTAACTGGTCAATGATACAAAATATTACTTTAAAACTTTTTAAAAAGAAATTAGTGTAAAATATCATGTTTTAAATTTAGATATCTAATTCTCAAAGAGAAACTTTTACCTCAAAAGTCTCATCACCAATTTTAAGAATATTTATCTTGAAAAAAGAAACTTTGAGAATTACCCAGGTGCTTTATTCTGGCATGTAAACCCATCAATATTTGATTTCATAGTTCCATAAATTTCTTTTTTTTCCCTAAAGATTTATTCATGCATACAAGAACTGGGGTACAGGCCAGATGCGCCAGAAGGTGAGAGGTTTCACCAGAGACAGAGCAGGGAGCAGAACAGGCAGACTGACTGAAATACACCGCTGAGGGGAGCAGCAGGCTTGACAGAGAGGTCTGCTGCACCATGTGGGACCCTCGCCGGGAGACAGGGATCAAACTGGCACTGCAGAGGCTGCGGACAGCTTCACAGCGCTGCGCTCAACCACCTGCGCCACCACGGGAAGCCCAGTTCCATAAATTTCTTTTGAAATTTACAAATATCCAAATATCCTTATTAAAAAAAGATATAAAAACACCAACTAATGTTATTGAGCACTTATTGTTACTCATTGTTACAGACATTACTTTGAAGCATTTTATCAGTGTTAACTAATTTCATGCTGAATATAACCTACGAGGCAGATGCCATTTGAATCTCCATTTTGCAACTGAGGAAACAGAGGCACAGAGAAGGTAATTTGTTCAAAGTCATATATCACGTTGACAATCATCTACGCGTTACTCTGCACAACCTTTAATTCTACTCTACCTCCCATGCGGACTCCCTGTCTCAGTTTTCCACTGCACCTTTGGTACTCAACCTTATTTAGCTTCTCATACTTCTTGAAATACTCTTTTCTCCTTCTTTGAGTACAAATGTAGGTGTCTTTTATGAGTATCACTTTCCCTGTGGTCTTGTTGAGTGGAGACTTTATTTTTCTCCAATTGCATACTATAAATAACTCAAGGTTTGGAGTTTGGAGATAGAATAGGTAATTTTCTAGCTTTTCAATGACACCTCCAAATCATCTTTCCTCCTCTCTCCTTTAAAAAAAAGCCATGTTGATTAAAGAACTAGACATAAGACCTGAAACCATAAAATATATAGAAGGAAATATAGGCAAAACACTACATGACATGCACCTCAAAGACATCTTTACAGACATATCACCCAAAGCAGTGATAGTGAAGGCAAAGATAAACAGTTGGGACTACATCAAATTAAAGAGCTTCTGCACAGCAAAAGAGACAATAACAAAAACTAAGAGAAACTCCACCGACTGGGAGAACATTTTTGCACATAACACTAATGATAAAGGACTGATCACAAAAATCTACAAAGAGCTGATGAGACTCAACAAAAACAAAGAAAATAATCCAGTCGAAAAATGGGCAGAAGAGCTAAAAAGAAACTTCTCTGAAGAAGAAATGCAAATGGCCAACAGGCATATGAAAAAATGTTAAACATCACTTGTAATCAGGGAAATGCAAATCAAAACTACCATGAGATACCATCTTACACCAGTGAGAATGGCACATATTAAAAAAACTAGCAACAACAAATGTTGGTGAGGTTGTGGAGAAAAAGTAACTCTCCTGCACTGTTGGTGGGAGTGCAAACTGGTCCAACCACTATGGAGAGCTGTGTGGAGATTTCTTGACCTATTAAACATAGAGCTTCCATATGATCCAGCAATTCCACTCCTAGGTATTTACCCAAAGGACACAGAAACATCAATTCCAAAGAGCACCTGCACCCCTATGTTTATAGCAGCACTATTTACAATAGCTAAGCTATGGAAACAACCCAAATGCCCAAAATAGATGACTGGATCAAGAAGATGTGGTACATATATACCATGGAATATTATTCAGCATTCAAAAAAGATAAACACATGCAATTTGCAGCAACATGGATGGCGCTGGAAGGGATCATGCTCAGCGAAATAAGCCAGAAAGAAAAAGAAAAATACCGGATGGTCTCACTCATAGCAGGAATCTAGAAAACTAAAATAAGGGACCAGGAAAATGAATAACTATAAGAAAGTGAAAATCAAAATCAACAAATAACTATGAACCAGAGACACTCTATGGGGGGTGGCAGGTGGGGAAAGGAGGGATGGGGGTCAAATAAGGGGGCTGTAATTGTATGGGGAATATGAAAATAAAATTTAAATAAAATAAAATAAAAAAGCCATGTTATCACACTTTTGGAGTATTAAAAAATTTGCGGTTTATTTTAAATGTTTAAGGAAATCCAGGATATTATTATGTATGGATTATTTGAAACTTGAACTGTAGAGACAGTCCATTTCCCAAATCCCAGAGGGGTGATATACAAGTAAACAATGCACAGTTCTGGGGTAGTTTACTGGATATGCAGATTATTAAGGACCAATCCTCTTGAGTCAAATACTATCAACTTAAATTGACTACATAGTGACTATTTTTCTAATTAGCATACTCAATGTCCAATTGGGTTTTTATTGGTGTAAAAAATGGCTTTCTTTGTTGAAATTAAAGGCATTCAAGACAAGTGAACTTTCCTGAACACATTTTAATCACTCGCTACAATAGCAAGAATAGAGAATAAGAAACTTATGGATGGCATTTGAGGATTGATCTCCAATCACTCAGATTCAGTGATTAATGTATGAATATTTCTGATTGTCCAATGGGAGAATGCACAGAGTTCTCTGTGCGCTTATTGATTTTTGAGTGGCCCTTATATGTAAGGTGTAGTCAGAGCAGCTAAAAGGACAAAGATCTATGACTTTATTGTTTACTATACAAGTTGTCCTTTTTTCTTTTCTTTTAAAGATTTATTTATTTATGCATACAAGAACTGAGGTGTATGTAGATAAGGGGTGTGGGGGATGAGAGGATTCACCAGTGGCAGAGTGGGGAGCAGAATAAGTGTATCTGCTGAAATACATTGCTGGGGGGAGCAGCGGGAGACACAGGAGAGGTCTGCAGCATCATGTGGGTTAGCTCCTTGGCTGGGGATTGAACTCATGCCCAGTGGAGGATGGCTGGCAATAGCTTACAGTACTGAGACTTTAACCCCTATGCCACCAAGTTGCATGAATTGCTTTGTGTTTGCCTTGCTAATGAATTCCTAGTTCTGCTAGATTATAGTTTAAGACTCGCCCTTATTAATCCTCACCACTTGTTATCTATCAAAGAAAGAACTATGTCAAAACTAACTTAGGGCAACTCACAACTACCCATTATATTGCTTGTCATTGTCAGCTAGCAATCTCCTGGTCACCACCTTTTGTTCAGTAATGATAATATAAGCCTACATTTTATAAGTACTTATTGTGTAATAAGGTTTATCCATATCATTTAATCTACTAGCTCCAATCCTATCTGAAACTCCCAATCTGTTGTCCTCTAAAGCCAGGGAAAAAGACAGCTATCATGCATACCTGGTGATCCCTTTGTTTAATTATCATAAATTTCAGAATAAACTAAAAAGACCATTAAACAAGCAGTTGTCTGTAGTTTTTCTTAGCTTTGTTCATGCTTGTCACTCATAGCATTAAATTTTCTTAAACTATTAATTCAACATTTAATATAGGTAGTATAAATAAGCATATGGCTCAGAAATAAAAATATGATACACATTTTGAAGTTTTGTTATCATCAGTTATTTGTGTATTCGTCCCCTGTCTATGCAAATACAAACAATATAAATTCTAATTTTCCCCTTTTCTCACACAGATGGCAGAATATTATGTATACTGATATGGACCTTGTTTATATACTTAACAATATTTCATGGAAATCAGGGATTGACTCAGGTTATGAGAATATAGGAATGCTCACCCAGGTGTGAGAATATAAAACTTATACACTTTGGAATGATTTGTGATACTAATTTACTAAAATTAAATGCTAAATTTTGTTTTTACTACTCTTAAAAATCAGTTTTAAGAAGGAAACATTGTAAGCCATTGTGAAGTAGAAGCAAGCTTGCAAGCTTTCAAAATTTACTATTAGAGGCAACCAAATATTCAAGCTAAACCCAAATTATTATTTTTCACATGAATAAGGTCCCACTAGTGAAAAGGATTACTGATTTTTTGAATTTGAATTTTTACTTTGTTTCTTAACTGATTTTATTGTCACTCAAGACAAATATGACTATAACATTCATTTTTGTTCTTATATTGTTCTAGAAAGAAACACACCTGCTCTTCTCCGCTGTGAAAGAGGAATATGAGCACGCTGGAATTTTTCAGTAACTTCTTCAAACTTTTGCTTTCTTTGTTGAAGTATTTGTTCTCTGATTTGGTGCTCTCTTTCTTCTTGCTCTTTCCGTTTCTCTTCAAAAGCTCTATATTTAAAGCATAAAGTAGATAACAGAATTAGGTAATATGTGTGAAAAATTTTAGCACAGAGGAGTTTCAAAACAATGCATTTATTATAGAACATTATTTTCATATTTCAGAATTGTACTTAGAAATAATAAATTTTAAGTTTAAAAAAGTCATGGTTAAGAATTTAGTTATCACATCCTCGCCCACATTTGTTGTTGCTTGTTTTTTTGATATGTGCCATTCTTACTGGTGTTAGGTGGTATCTCAATGTGGTTTTAATTTGCATTTCCCTGATTATAAGGGCTGTTGAACATTTTTCCATAAGCCTGTTGGCCATTTCCATTTCTGCTTTGGAGAAATGTCTTTTAAGTTCTTCTGCCCATTTCTTGACTGGACTGTTTATTTTGTTTTTGTTGAGCCTTTTGAGTTCTTTGTATATCTTTGTGATCAGTCCCTTTTCAGTTGACTGGAGTGCAAAGATTTTTTCCCAATCAGTGGGTTGTCTCTCTGTTTTGGTTAATGTCTCTTTTGCTGTACAGAAGCTTTTCAGTTTGATGTAATCCTAGGTGTTTATCTTTTCCTTGACTTTCTTTGTTTTGGGTGATATGTCTTTAAAGATGTTATTGCAATGTATGTCTTGTAGTGTTACCTATATTTTCTTCTATATATTTTATGGTTTCAGGTCTTATGTCCAGTTCTTTTATCCATTTTGAGTTGATTTTTGTGCACGGTGAAAGGTAGTGGTCTAGTTTATATTTTTTTGCATGTGGTGGTCCAGTTTTCCCAGCACCATTTATTGAACAAACTGTCTGTGTTCCATTGCACATTCTTTGCTCCTTTGTCAAAGATCAGTTGTCCATGTAAGTGTGCTTTTCCGACATTGCTGGTGGAAGTGCAAATGGGTCCAACCACTATGGAAAGCTGTCTGGAGGTTCCTCCAGTCTACTAAAAATGGAGCTACCACCAGGAAACACATTTAACCACAAAAGATAAACATAGACTGAAAGTAAAAGGTTGGAAAACAACCCCACAAGCAAATGGACCAAAAGAAAGGCAGGAACAGCTATACATATATCAGATGAAATAGACTTCAAATTAAAAAAAATAGAAAGACATAGACGGACATTACATCATGATCAAGGGGACAATATATTAGGAAGATAAAACACTCATCAACATATACTCACCAAATGAAGGAGCACCAAAATATATTAGACAATTATTATGAGCTCTGAAAATGGACATTAAAGAAAACACATATATAGCGGGAGACTTCAGCATTCCACTTTCACTAATGGACAGATCAACAAGATGAAAAATATGTAAAGACACTAGAGCCCTAAATAAAGGCATAGAACTCATGGACTTAACAGACATCTATAAGACACTGCACCCCAAAAAATCCGAGTACACATTTTTCTCAGTGCACACGGATCATTCTCCAGAATCAATCACATACTGGGCCACAAGACAAACATCAACAGATACATGAATGTCAAAATCATTCCAACTATCTTTGCCGATCATAAAGGCATCAAACTAGAAATAAATCATGAAAAGAAAAAAAGGAACAATCCCACTTCATGGAGATTGAAATCCACACTACTGGAAGACCACTGGACTAATGAGGAGATCAAGGAAGAAATTAAAAAATACTTTGAGTTGGATGACAAGGAGGATACCACTTTCCAGAATGTATGGGATGCAGCAAAAGCAGTAATAAGAGGAAAATATATAGCAATACAGGCTCACATCAACAAACAAGAAAGAACTCAAAGAAACAACCTAATCTCACATCTCAAAGAGCTAGAAAAAGAACAACAAAAAAACCCTAAAGCAGTAGAAGAAAGGAAATAATAAAAATCAAAGCTGAAATAAACAAATCGAAAATTTAAAAAAAATCCCAAATATCAATGAAACCAAAAGTTGGTTCTTTGAAAAAATAAACAAAATAGACAAACTTCTAGCCAGGCTCACAAAGAAAAAAATGTGAGAAAACACATATAAATAGGATTATAAATGAAAGAGGAGAAATCAGAACCGAATCAGTAGAAATCAAAAGAATAATCAGAGATTACTATGTACACTTATATGCAAAGAAATTCAACAAACTAGAAGAGATGGACAAATTCCTAGAATGGTATAATCATCCAAAGCTGGACAAAGAAGAAACAGAACACCTAAATAGAACAATTACAAGCAGTGAAATTAGGCAGTTATCAAAGCACTCCCCAAAAACAAAAGCCCAGGCCCAGAAGGCTTTACAAATGAATTCTACCAAACGTTCAGCAGTGAACTAGTGCCTATCCTACACAAACTCTTTCAAAAAATTGAAAAAGAAGGAATACTACCAAATATGTTCTACAAAGCCAACATTACACTAATACCAAAACCAAAGAAAGACAGCAAAAAGAAAGAAAATTACAGGCCAATCTCCCTAACAAACACTGATGCAAAATTCCTCAACAAAATCCTTGCCAACAACAGAATCCAACAATGCATCAAAGGGATAATACACAACAACCAAGTGGGATTTATCCCAGGGGCACAAGGATGGTTCAACATACAAAAATCGACCAATGTAATCCAACACATCAACAAAAAGAAAAAAAAACAACATATGATCATATCAATAGATGCTGAGAAAGCATTCGACAAAGTCCAACACCCATTTATGTTGAAAGCCCTTGAAATTTTCAGGATAGAAGGAACATACCTTAACATGATAAAAGCCATATATGACAGACCCACCGCCAACATTATTCTCAATGATGAAAAGCTGAAGGCCTTTCCTTTAAGATCAGGCACAAGACAAGGATGTCCTCTCTCCCCACTGCTCCTCATATAATACTGGAAGTCATAGCCAGGGCAATAAGATAAGAAAAGACATACAAGGAATCCAGATAGGGACAGAAGAAGTAAAAACTATCACTATTTGCATATGATATGATAATATACATAGAGAACCCTAAAAACTTCACAGAAAAACTACTCAAAATAATCTACCAGTTCAGTAAAGTAGTAGGATACAAAATCAACATGCAAAAATCAGTAGCCTTCCTACACACAAACAATAAATCTGAAGAAGAAATCAAGAAAACCATCCCTTTTATAATTGAAACAACAAAAAAAATCAAATACTTGGCAATAAACCTAACAAAAGAGGTGGAAAACCTTTACAAAGAAAACTATAAAACACTGTTAAAATAATAGAAGGCACAAAGAAATGGAAAGACATCCCCTGCTCATGGAGTGGAAGAATTAACATTATTAAAATGTCTATCCTACCAAAAGCAATATACAAATTCAATGCTATTCCAATAAAAATCTCAATGACATTCTTCAAAGAAATAGAACAAATACTGATGAAATTCATATGGAACCACAAAAAATCATGAATATCCAAAGCCCTACTGATGAAAACAAAGGAGAAAGGAGGTATCATGCTTCCAAACTTCAAGCTATATTACAAAGCCATAATAATTAAAAAAACAAAATGTCTTTGAGGTGCATTTCATGTAGTGTTTAGCCTATATTTCCTTCTATATATTTTATGGTTTCAGGTCTTATGTCTAGTTCTTTAACCCGTTTTGAGTTGGTTTTTGTGCAAGGTGTGAGGTAGTAGTCAAGCTTCATTCTTTTGCATGTAGCAACCCAGTTTTCCCCGCACCATTTATTGAACAAACTTTCTTTGCTCCAGTGTATATTCTTTGCTCCTTTATCAAAGATTAGTTGACCATAAATATATGGGTTTATTTCTGGATTTTCTATTCAGTTCCATTCATCGGTATGTCTGTTCTTGTTCCAATACCATGCAGTTTTGATGATTATGGCTTTGTAGCATAGTTTGAAGTCTGGGAGTGTGATGCCTCCATTTCCTTCTTTTTTTCTCAGGAAAGCTTTGGCTATTTGGGAGTTTTGGTGATTCCATATGAATTTCATCAATAATTGTTCTATTTCTTTGAATATGTCATTGAAATTTTTATTGGAATAGCATTGAATCTGTAAATTGCTTTTGGTAGGATGGCCATTTTGATAATGCTAATTCTTCCAATCCATGAGCAGGGGAGACACATCACCCAAAGCAGTGATAGTGAAGGCAAAGATAAACAGTTGGAACTATATCAAATTAAAGAGCCAGCAAAAGAGACAATAACAAAAACAAAGAGAAACCCCACCGACTGGGAGAACATTTTTGCACACAACACTAATGATAAAGGTCTGATCACAAAAATCTACAAAGAGCTGATGAGACTCAACAAAAACAAAGAATATAACCCAGTCAAAAATGGGCAGAAGAGCTAAAAAGAAACTTCTCCAAAGAGGAAATGCAAATGGCCAACAGGCATATGAAAAAATGTTCAACATCACTTGTAATCAGGGAAATGCCAATCAAAACTACAATGAGATATCATCTTATACCAGTGAGAATGGCACATATTAAAAAAACTAGCAACAACAAATGTTGGCAGGTTGTGGAGAAAAAGTAACACTCCTGCACTGCTGGTGGGAGTGCAAACTGGTCCAACCACTATGGAGAGCTGTGTGGAGATTTCTCGAACTACTAAAGATAGAGCTTCCATATGATCCAGCAATTCTACTCCTACGTATTTACCCAAAGGACACAGAAACATTAATTCAAAAGGGTACCTGCACCCCTATATTTATAGCAGCACTATTTACAATAGCTAAGCTAAGGAAACAACCCAAATGCCCAAAAATAGATGACTGGATCAAGAAGATGTGGTATATATACACAATGGAATATTACTCGGCAATCAAAAAAGATAAACACATGCTGTTTGCAGCAACATGGAGGGAGCTAAAAGGAATCTTATTCAGCAAAATAAGTCAGAAAGAAAAAGAAAAATACTGGATGGTCTCACTCATAGCAAGGATTTAGAAAACCTAAGTAAGGGACCAGGAAAAAGACTAATTAATACAAAGTAAAAATCAAAATCAACAAGCAACTATAAACCAGAGACACACTACGGTGGGGGTGGGGGAGCGGGGAGAG